AGTCATGAAAACGTCACGGCGGGAGGTTTTTCGCTATTGCGGCCTCTGGGGGCCTTCGCTGGGCCCCAGGACGGTCAAGAAACGACCCAGGATGAAAAACCAGCCGCGGGGGAGGGGTCTAGACCTCTGGGGCCGACGTCATGGAATAATCATGACGTCGGGGGTCTGGGTCCTGAGAGGCTCGGGGAGCCGAGAAGGCAGGCCCAGAGATCCGACGCCGGCCTCTGGGGGCCCTTGCAGGGCCTTGGGGCCGTCAGAGCGGCTGCCCCGGCTTCTCAGAAGCTTTGCTGGAAGCTTCCAGAGGTCGGCCACGCGCAGAGGGGCGGTAGGGGGAGGGGGGGGGCTTCTTAGAAGCACCCCTGCTTCTCAGAGAGCGCGCGCCTTGTCTGTAGACGCAAGGCTGGGGCCTTCCTAAGAAGCAGGGTGCTTCTAAGAAGCCTTCCCCCCTCCCCCTACCCCCCTGTGCGTGTCGCCAAAGAGGCCCTTCTCAGAAGGCCCCCGCCTCCTCAGGAGCACCCCGCCTGCTTAGGAGGCCCCTCGCGCCACGCCCCCGTGCGCGCCGCCGACTCATCGACGGCCACCAGGGGGACGGGGTCGGCGTCGAGATGGACCGACCACAGCTGGCCCTGGGGAGGAGGAGGAGGAGGAGGAGGAGGAGGAGGAGGAGGAGGAGGAGGAGGAGGAGGAGGAGGAGGAGGAGAGGCAGGAGGAGGAGGAGGAGGAGGAGGAGGAGGAGGAGGAGGAGGAGGAGGAGGAGGAGGAGGAGAGGTGGAGGAGGAGGAGGAGGAGGAGGAGGAGGAGGAGGAGGAGCAGGAGGAGGAAGGAGAGGAGGAGGAGGAGGAGGAGGAGGAGGAGGAGGAGGAGGAGGAGGGAGGAGGAGGAGGGAGGGAGGAGGGAGGAGGAGAGAGAGGGAGGAGGAGGAGGAGAGGAGGGGAGGAGGAGGAGGAGGGAGGAGGAGGGCGGGACGAGGAGGGGAGCCTCCGCCCTCCGCCCGCCGCTCGGCGGCGGCCGCCGGGGCGGCGCCGCCGGAGCCGGAGGCCGGCCCGCCCGCGCCACAGAGGGTGCCGGCTACCCAGACCCCCTCGAGTTATGAAAAAATCACGACGGGAGGTTTTTCATTATTTTTGGCCTTTGGGGCCCCTTACCGGCCCTCGGGACCGTCAAAAAACGACTCAGGGCGAAAAATCGGTCCCGGGGAATGGGTCCAGACTTTTGGGGGTCGCGTCATGAAAAAATCATGACGTCGGGGGTCTGGGGAGGGTGCTGGCTACACGTAAGAGGGGCCCATCGCCGGAGTGGCTTATGGCGCGGGCCCCTATAGGGGCCCTCCCCGCGCCGGCAAGCCCGGGCATCCGGCGTGTCTCGACGTCTTCGAGGCACGGGCCCCACTTGCCCCAGAGCCCGTCTTTCGTCCCGAGTCGTTTCTTGATGGTCCCGAGGCCCGATTTCTGTTGGAGCGTCGGGCCTCCGGGTTTACCCTCGTTCCGACTTCGTCTGAACTGGTGTTGTGGCGTCCCCTCTCGCGCCGAAGCATGCCCACCCAGACAGCCGACGTCTCGATTTTTTCGAGACGCGGGCCCCCGACCGAGCCCGACCACTTCCCCGGGGCCGGTTCCTCGTCCCGAGGCGTTCTGTGACGGTCCCGAGGCCCGGCGAGGGCCCCGGGAGCCCCGGGAGGCCGAGAGCGATGAAAGCCTCCGTCCCGACTTCTCGAGGCGCCAGCCCCTGAGATCCGACGGCGCGACAAAAGCCGAGCCCTATCGCGGCAGAAGCCACCTCTGCGGAGCCCCAGACCCCGTCGCTCTGCGCCATTAGCCCCGAGCCGTGGCTCGACCTGCGAGGGCCCCTGCGGCGCCCGCAGCCCGACGAGACGGACGCCCAGCTCGAAAGAGAAGACGTGGACCCAGAGGGCCGATGTCGTGTTTTTTTTCAATCCCAGACCCCCTCGAGTTATGAAACAATCACGACGGGAGGTTTTTCATTATTTTTGGCCTCTGGGGGCCCTTGCCGGCACTCGGGGCCGTCAAAAAACGACTCAGGACGAAAAACCGGACCCGGGGGATGGGTCGAGACCTCGGGGGATCGACGGCATGAAAACATCATGACGTCAGGGGTCTGGGATACGGGGTCGCCGGAAGTCCCGACCCTCTCCCTGGGACCGCTTTCTCGTCCCGCGAGCCGTTTTTTGGACGATCCCGGGGCCCGGCGAGGGCCCCGAGAGGCCAAAAGCTGCGGAAAACCTCCGTCCCGATTTGTCCAATGCGCTGTGGATCCCTGGGGAGGCGCCGGGGCCTCCGGGTGGGATCTGGCCATCCCGCGGCCTTCTGGAGGCAGGCTGCGGTGCGTGCGGTAGGGCGCCCTCGCCCGGGGTCGCCGCCGTCCCCCCCCCCGCGTGCGGCCGCGGAGCCCAGCCCATCACCAGCCTGGAGCATATCCCTATCCCTATGATTGGCATCGCCTCCTCTCGATGCCGATCGTAGGGATTCCCTCCGTTTCTGAGGCTGCATCCCTAAGATTGTCGTCGACTTTTGGCTTGTTACTCTTAGGGATGGGGATACGTTCGAGGCTGACTAGCCCAGTCCCCCGACGCCGCGTGTTGTCTTTCCCCTGCTGTCGACCCGCGAGGTCCGGACCCCTCCCCAGACCCAGACATCGGGCGTCTCGAAACATCGAGGCGGAGGTTTTTTTTCGTCGTCTTCGGCCTCTCGGGGCCCTCGCCGGGCCTCGGGACCGTCAGACAACGCCTCGGGATGAGAAACCGGTCCCGGGGAAGTGGTCGGGCTCGGTCGGGGGCCCGCGTCTCGAAAAAATCGAGACGTCGGATGTCATGGGAGGGGAATGGATCGAGACTGCCGGGGACCCCGTATGGAAAAAAAGACGACATCGGATCTTTGGGTTCCCCGCGGCTGGTTCTTCCTCCTGGGCCGTTTCTGGACGACCCGGAGGCCCGGTGAATGCCCCCGGAGGCCGAGCGTAGCGAGGAACCCTCCCGTCGTGATTTTTGCCACGGCTGCTTGCGCCAGACGTTTGCTCTAGAGATGCTTGCTCCAGAGGTTTTGCATTCTTTATCCGCTTAGATGTATGACCCCAGCTTTGTGTGGAGCTGCTTCGGCTTGCCTGGCTTTTGATCCCCGCAAGTCTCGTTTTTTGCTGCGTGGCTCGCGGGGGTCTCACAATCTTCCGAAAACCGACCCCGGGTCATCACATTGTCCGCCGGGGCCGGTTTGGGCCAACTAGCTCCACCCCGCGCCGGAATTCCTCTAGCTCGTCGACAACGAAGAGCTCTATACGAGGTACTACTTCCGTCGAGATTTTTCTGGCCAACTCGCCCCCCGGCGCGCCGGAATGACTCTCTAGCTTCGCCGCTTCGCTCTTAGGGAAGCTCGACGAGTCACTAGCCCCACAGACCCCTGACGTCATGATTTTTTCATGACGTCGACCCCCCGAGGTCTCGACCCATTCCCCGGGACCGGTTTTTCGTCCTGAGTCGTTTTTTGAGGGTCCCGAGGGCCGGTAAGGGCCCCCAAAAGCCGAAAATAATGAAAAGCCTCCCGTCGTGGTTTTTTCATAACTCGAGGGGGTCTGGGCTCTAGCTCAGGGAAGCTCTACGAGTCACTAGCCCCTGGGCCCCGCGCGTGGCCCGCGGAGAGGCCCCGCCGCGGCCCCGCGCCGCGGCGCGCTGCGAGGCCGCGCCCGCGGCGCGCGGCGGCCGCGGGCGCCGCGGGCGGGCCGGGGGCCCCGGGGGCGGCCGCGGGGAGGGGGCGGGCGCTGGGGCCGCCCGCGCGCTCCCCTTCCTCCCCCTTCCTCCCCTTTCCTCCCTTCCTCCGACTTCCTCCTCCTCTCCTCCCTCCTCCTCCTCCCTCCTCCGCGAGGGCGGGCCCGCCGCGGCCGCCCGGCCGCCGCCCTCCGGCCCGCCGGCGCGCTTCGAGGTCGAGGCTGCGCGGGCGCCGCCGGCGGAGCGGGGCGGCGGGCGGGCGCGCGAGGCGCTGCCGGGCGCCGCGCTGCTGGCGGCGGCGCTGGCCCTGTGCGCGGCGTCGGAGGCGGTGGGCCAGCAGTGCGTGGCCCAGAGGTTCCAGGACGCGGCGGCGTCTCCTCGGTGGTGTGGCCACAGCAGTGCCCCTGGCCCAAGAGGTGCCCCCGGCTTCCGCCCCATGCTGGGGCCCCCGTGGCTCTCTGGGCCTCGCCAGGAGTGCTCTGGAGGCCGTCTGGGCCACCCCGAGGATCCTGGGGGCACCTTGGGCCAGGGGCACTTCTAGCAACACCCGGTCTGTAGAGTCTACATCCCCAGGACGAAAGTTTTTTCCTCTTGGGCCCGGAACGACGGTGTGAAGTTTTGAGCAGACCCGTAACAACGGATTGCGTGTGAGATGTGGTGTGTCGGCTATGTGGTAGCCAACGAGTCCGACGGCCAAAACGCGTTTCGGCCCTGCGTCTCCTCACCCAACGGACTGCCTGTGAGATGTGGTGTCGGCTGCGCGGTAACCAACAACGGATTGCGTGTGAGATATGGTGTGTCGGCTATGTGGTAACCAACAAGTCCGAAGGCCAAAACGCTCATCCCCAGGACGAAAGTTTTTTCCTCTTGGGCCCGGAACGACGGTGTGAAGTTTTGAGCAGACCCGTATGAGATAACCGCCGTCGGATCTCATGAACCTCGTGCGGATCCACATGTGGCTTTGTTTTTTGTTTCGGTGGATCCGATTTCCGTCCGTACGGATCCGATTTCGGATTAGCTGGATCTGTGTCCGGTCTTATTTTCTACGGCGGATCCGATTTCTACCCTGTTGTAAATTTATTTTTATTAAATTAAACCAGGGGGCCACAAGAAATCGGATCCGCGGACCCCGCAAACCGCCCGTACTAAGATTCTATCGGGGAGGGGGCTTCGGTAATCAACTATTCCACGATGGGCCCTGCGTCGTCTCGCGCACTCCCATCAACTCCCCGCGCGAGCGGGCCCCATTCAACATGAATACATACATCCCTCCTCCCCCGGTTGCTGCAACCAGCTCGTCCGGTCGCCGTCCGTTAGGCGGTGCCGACGTTGTCTCGCGAACTCCTCATGGCCATTTTCACCTCGAGAAGAAAATCTTTCGTCCTGCGTAAGTAGCCCTGAGGTCCTGGCGAATCGTTCTCTTTCGGGCCCGGCGTTTTTTCGACGAGTCTCCGGCCCCGGGACCCCCACAGGTCGATCCGTGTGGGCCCCGCAAGACCCGCCAGGAGCAGCATGCATCCCTGCCTGGGGTCGGGGAAATGGTATGACTCGAGTACGCTGGGAACTCGGATTCGCCGACGCTTTTTGACGAGCCCAGCCTGGATTCTGACGGCCCGGGGTTCGTGGGACGTTGGCGGCGGGAGCGCACGTCAAATTTCCGACCAGGTCTCGTCATATTCTCCCGATGGTTCCGCCAGGCCCACCCGCGTCCCCCCAACCCTGGCCTCCCCGACAAGAGGGGTAAGTCGGCCAGCGGGGCCAGGGCCGTGCCAGTGAGGATGGGGGCCGGCGGAGCGATGCCCGAGGACAGGGGGGCCTCGGCCAGCTGCGCCGCGTGGCGGTGCGTGTGGGACCCTGCCGGGTGCGCAGTCGGCTGTCGGTGGATGCTCCACGCCGAGGAGGCGTGGAAGCAGACCACGTTCTGGGCGCCGGCGGTGGCCCTGCCGTACGCGGCGCTGGCGGCCTGGTGCGCGTGGCGCCGCGGCAGCTTCCGGGCGGGCCTGCCGCTGCACCGGTGGACGCAGCGCTACGGGATGGGCGCGGCCGTTTTCGCAGCCCTTTTCGCATCGCTCCCGTGGTACGAGGGGTGCGTCGACTTCAGTTCCGCAGATCGTGCACGAACCCTCGACACCCCGCTTCTGGTGTCTCACAGCGTGCTCATGGCCTGCTCCCAGATCCAGCTCGCGTGCAAGCTCGAGGATCTCAGCTGCCGGCGGCTGGCTCGCACCGTCCGCATCCTCGCGAGTGCGACCATCGGGTGCATGGTGCTAGCTCTTGTGCTTCTGTTACTGGCATGCACACTGCTCTCGAAGCACAGCAATGAGGTGAATTTGTGGGCGACTTGCCTAGTATTCTAGAGGCTTAGGCCAAATCCGCCGACCCCTTGCTTGAGTTCTTGGTTTTGGCAGTGTTCTCGGTTTCAGATCTTGGGCTGTTTGTGGGTGACGAGGACGACGATAGGCATGTAAGCGAAGTTGTGGGGGGTCTTTTGCCTGTGCAGCTGCTTTGAAGCCTGCAGGGTTCATGCGTGTACGTGTTGAGCGAGTGTCGGAGGCCGTGTTGAGGCGACTTCGGCGATTTCGGTTTATCCTCGACGGTTTCGATATCGGATAGACATTTTTGGATCCCTTTCATCAACCAAGTGGGTTGCGTCTAGCCGTGAAGAGCCTTCGTCGCGCTTGAATGTGAAATCGGTAAGCCATTCAGGCACACATGTTCCTCACGACATCCAGTCCTTCTGCGGCTCCTCCTCCTCCTCCTCCTCCTCCTCCTCGGAGGAGGAGGAGGAGGAGGAGGAGCAGGAGGAGCAGGAGGAGCAGGAGGAGCAGGAGGAGGAGGAGGAGGGAGGAGGAGGAGACGAGGAGGAGGAGGAGGATGAGGAGGGGGAGGAGGAGGAGGAGGAGGAGGAGGAGGAGGAGAGGGGAGGGGAGCAGGAGGAGCAGGAGGAGGAGGAGGAGGAGGATGAGGGGAGGAGAGGAGGAGGAGGAGGAGGAGGAGGAGGAGCAGGAGGAGCAGGAGGAGCAGGAGGAGCAGGAGGAGCAGGAGGAGGAGGAGGAGGAGGAGGAGGAGGAGAAGGAGGAGGAGGAGAATGAGGAGGAGGAGGAGGAGGAGGAGGAGGAGGAGCAGGAGGAGGATCGAGGTCCTCTCGGCTCCTCTTGGGGTCCCCCTTCCAAGCGACAGGGCGCGGGCCGCCGGCGTTCCAGGCGGAGCGCCGCCGGCGGCCCCTCCCGAGGCTCCATCTTGGAGCCGACGCGGGGGCGTTCTCGGCCGTCTCGGAGACCTCTGGGCCCCCTCCCCAGACCCCCTCGAGTTATGAAAAAATCACGACGGGAGGTTTTTCGTTATTTTTGGCCTTTGGGGGCCCTCACCGGCCCTCGGGAACGTCAAAAAAGGACTCAGGACGAAAAACCGGTCCCAGGGAATGGGTCCGGACCTCGGGGGGTCGCGTCATGAAAAAATCATGACGTCGGGGGTCTGGGTCTTGGGTTAAGTCGGGCATGTCCCTCTACCGGAGGAGTGTTCAAAAATAGTCAAGAAGTGGTCCAGTTTAATCCGTATGTAGGGGGACACGCCCGACCTAAATCTTGGGCCTCTCCTTGAGCCGTGTTGAGGCCTCCTGGGTGCATCTTGGGGCGGACAGCTAGAATTGTCGGTTCGGGCTCCTGCTCTTGGGTCCCACTGGGGCCGTCGGGGGGCGCTCGTGTGCCGTCTTGAGGCTATCTTGGAGGCTTCTTGGGCCGTCTTGGGGCGGTCTTGGTGGCGTTTTGGGCCGTCATCAACGCCGGGAGCCGAAAAGTCGTACATGCTAAAACGGCACGTTTCCCAAAGAGGATTCGACGATTGTTGTACCTCGGGGCCATCTCGGGAGTGCTCTTCGAAACCCTTTGGGGTGACTTGGGGGCATCTTCAGCCGCCTGGAGGCAATTTCGGGCGTCTTGGACCGATCGTTCGGCTACTCGGGGCCTTCTGGGACAATCTTGGGAGCTTCTTGGTGCCCTCTTGGGCCGTCCGGGGGCCCTCTATCCCCCATGATGCATTCGACCAGGGGCCGGGGGGCGGGGGGGGGGGCGGCGGGGTGGTCGAGCTTCCGGTTTGGAGGCCCAGGTGGGGGGGGATCATGGATGGGGGAGAACCTCACATGCCTAGAGATCCGCAAGATGTCGGCGGATTCCTCGCTCCGCTGTCCAGCGTGCCCACCACGCTGTGCGGCGTTTGGTGCATGGCGTGTGCCGCTGCGCGCGCGGCGTTCTCCAGGGGCGGCCTGCAGATGCGCGCGGCCCGCTTTGTCCTGCTGACGGCGGCTTGCCTGGCCCTCTCGCTCGTCAGCACGGTCGCCGTGGCGGTGTGCGGTATCGTCTAACGAATCCCCATCCCCATCCCCATCCCCTTCGGGACCCCCTCCAAACCACCACCCCAGTCGGGGATACACCCCTCGAGGCCCGAAGGGTAGCGGCCTCTATCCCCATACAGCGGGGTGAATCGGTCAGTGGGGCCCAGGCCACGCCGCTGGGGATGGGGATCGGTTCAACGATGCTCAGGTGTACACGGCCAAGAGACTCTCGGGCGTTTATTTTGCGCACTGGGTGGCGGCCTCCAACGCGCTGCTCGACTGCCTTAGCGTGGCTGTCTTCTCTGGGCTGGCAGGGCCGCGTTCGCTGCAGGTCCTGGCGCTGGACTCCTTCTCGGCCATCAACTCCTACACCGACGACCAGATGCAGGCCTTTTACGAGGAATATCTCGAGTATCTCGACAGGGCGCGGGTGAAGTGGGTGCTGTGCGGTTACCTGCGCCGCCTGGCCGCGGCAGGGAAGGCTATGCCGCGGTACCAGGAGGTGTCCAGCTATCAGGCAGTCGTCGGCAGCAGTGGCTTCCCGCTTCTCCGTGACGGGCTGAAGCACAGGTTCGTGCTCTCGCACCCCTGGCTGTCGAAGGAACACCCCGACCCTCAGGGGGCAAAGCTGAAGCTGCTCGTACACCAGCTCGACATGCTGCAGGCTTCCGATTCCGACGGGGTGTTTATCGACTACATGAGCCTGCCCCAGCACGACAAGCAGAACCTGGACCTGCAGCGGCTGGAACTGGAGCAGAGATTTCCCAAGCCTGGCCAGCACCCCGCGGTTCGCACGGAGGCGGAGGAGGCACAGTTCAAGCAGGCGCTCTCGGCCATGGAGCAGATCTACAGCGTTGGCAAGACGCCGGTCATTGTGCTGCCCATGGATAACCTCGTCGAGACGGGCAAGGAGTACATCTCCAGGGGCTGGTGCTTTCTTGAGTTTTGTCTTGCCATGAGTTTTGACAATATCGCGAATGCGGAGGTCCACGAGCCTGTCAGGCGCCTGATCGTTGATGTCCGAAACATGAAGGGCGACACAGTTCATGGATTCCGCAAGGCATTCAAGAGTACACACTTCACCAACAAAGGCGATGCCGATGTCGTCCTCCGGCTCTTCGAGAACACGCTGAACCTGGGCTCGGCCTGACGGGGCCCCGCGTTTGATTCTCGCGGTGCGTTGGCTGCAGGCCCACTGGTTGTCTTGGCCAGGCCCCTGGAAACGAGAGTTGCGGAGGCGGCCCCCGTGGGCGCGGTCTGCCCGCCCGTGCGCGCGGTGTGGCTGCCGTCGGGGCCGCAAGCCGCAGTGCTTGGCGCCCTGAGAAGGAGAAGGAGGAGGAGGAGGAGGAGGAGGAGGAGGAGGAGAGGAGGAGGAGGAGGAGGAGGAGGGGAGGAGGAGGAGGAGGAGGGGGGGGCAGGGGGAGGGGGAGGGGGAGGGGGAGGGGGAGGGGGAGGAGGAGGAGGGGAGGAGGAGGAGGAGGAGGAGGAGGAGGGAGGAGGAGGAAGGAGGATGAGGAGGAGGGAGGAGGAGGAGGAGGAGGATGAGGAGGAGAGGAGGAGGAGGAGGAGGAGGAGGAGGAGGAGGAGGAGGGGGTCCCCTGGGCCCCCCCCCCCTGGGGGCCGGGGCTTCTTGGGGGCCTCCAGGGCTGCCCTCCCGGCGCCCTCCCGGAGCCCTCCTGGCGCCCTCCTGGATCCGCGGGTCCCTCTTGGCCCATCTTGGGCCTGGGGCCTCCAGCAAGAAGATCGAGGCCCACGCCAGCGAGGCGGCGGCGCTCCGCCCCGATGCGGCGCATCGGGAGCATCGATGCTGACCCATGGTCCCAGGCCATCTCGGCCCAGTCTGGTCCCGGCGCACTCGAACGAGGCCGAGCGATGCGCTGGCAGCTGCTGTTCGACGTTCTGGCGCGCTCGCTGAGGCATGCTGGCCGAGGTTCCGCTGCAGTTTTCTGCCGCCGGCTTGGCCTCCGCATCGGCTCACGCGCTGGCCGACGAGGAGAAGCGGCGGCGGCTCGCAGGGCCCGCGCGCGCGGCTCCGCGGGCGGCGGGCGCCGGGAGGCGCCACCGCAGCCGCGGGGCAGCCCCTTGCACCCGCGCTGGCTCGGGCGGCACGGCCGTGGGCGCGGCTGGCCATCCCGGAGGGCGGCCCGCCCGCGGCCATGCCTGCCCCCCAGCGCGCAGGGGGCCTCGCGCGAGCGCAGGGGGCAGCAGCGCAGCGCAGCTCGGGGCACGCCGCCCGCCTGGTGTCGGAGGCCTCCGCGCGTGCCTCCGCTGTCGCTGCTGCGTCGCGGAGGGGGGTCCACCTCCCCCCCCTTCATCTCGTCCTTCTCCTCCCCTCTCCTTCCTCCTCCTGCCTCCTCATATCCTCCTCCTCCTCCTCCTCCTCCTCATATCCTCCTCTTTCTCCTCCTCCTCCTCCTCATATCCTCCTCCTCCTCCCCCCTCCCCCCCCTAGAATGCCCACTGTCGCCGAAAATAACGAAACGCGCTCTAGTTCTTTCCCTGCTCGGGCCGTCCTCCTGCCGCCCCTTTCCCCCCCGCGGCCGCGCGCGGGAGGAGCTCTCCTTTGCCCTGGTCCTCGGCGGCTCGGCCCACGGCGTCGTGCTGGCCCCGGGCAAGGCTGCCCGACGTTCTCTCTGACAGACTGGTGGCGAGGGGGGGGGGGGATTAGAGAGGTTGGATCGGGCCTCCCCCCCCCTGGAATAGTTCTGGGGTATTCTTCATTCTTCGTCCAGAATCCGCCCGTAGGGGGACGTGCCCGACCCAGCGGTAGATCGGCGGCGAGCGAGGGGGGAATTCAAGGGGGCGGGGGGCGGGGTTCTGAGAAGTTTTCTAAGCGTTTCCCCGAAGACGCAGAGCACTTCTTGCAAGGTGCGAGGGCTTCTGAGAAGCCCCGCCGCCTGCCGAGCAGGCCTTCCCCTTCTCGTCCCCCCCCTCGCCCGCCGCCAGATATAGCATCAGGGGAGGCCAAGAGCGGGGCGATGACGATCCGAGGAGGAAAAGGTACTGATACTGCTACCCTTCGCCCGTTTCTCCCTTTTTCGGCCTCCCCGGGGGCGTTAGTTACCACCGCTGGATTCGCTTCGAAATCTTGGTCGGAGCGCACCCCGGGAGAGGTCCGAGGAGCCGCGGTATCGGTACCCTCTGGTTTCCCCAGATTAGGGTTGGGTCGGGCAAAAACATTTCCAACATTATCCCAGCATATTCAAAAATACTTAAGAAATCGTCCCCAGACTATTTTTTGACTACTTTAGAATACTCCCCCTCCAGAGGGACAGGCCCGACTTAAGACTAGGGGAGGAGGGGGATGGACATCATGGCAAGGGCCATGCTGCCCCCCCACAGCTTTGGTGGCCATCCAGTGCGTCCCCGGGTCCCCCCCCTGTCCGCGCACCTGCCTCGGGCCACATACAATTGGCGCGAGCCCCCTTTTTGGACGCCTCCCTGGACGCCCCCGAGGGCACTGGCGGACAAGAGAATGGGAGGCGGAAAGCAGGAGGAGGAGGAGGAGGAGGAGGAGGAGGAGGAGGAGGAGGAGGAGGAGGAGGAGGAGGAG